TAAGAGGCTATTTCAATTAAAGTTACGCTCATTAAGAGCCTGGGTAATTTTATTATTATTATTATTATTATTATTATTAATTAAAAAAAAAGATATTGGTGATGTTGTGGATGATGACAAGAAAATAAAGTTCATCGCCTGATAGAATTATTGTTTTTTTTTTATATTTTTACACACGATTGGTTGGAGTTGTCATCCAATTGGAATTGTTTAGTGCTAGTTGAACCAAAATATGTTTACGTGGATAAGAGTTGATATACATTTAATACAAATGGTTGCAGTTGCGTTCCGTTTGCAATTGGTGTTTGTTTAATGCAACTTAATTAATTTAAATCAATTATAACAACCAAATCTTAATTTAGCTGGCTGGAATACCTTTGTGGTATTCCATCCTTTTTCTCAAAAAAAAATTTAAATCAATTATGATAAATTGTATATCTGTTTGTGCTGATAGAGTTGATGATTTCTGAACAACTTTCAAATTTAGAACCTTAAACTGAGCATAAACATCATTAGGGATACAACTCATACAAGCTTGATATAAAGGACCGAAAATAGGTTTATTTATGTCCCTGTTTTGTTACCCCACGAAAGTATAACATCGAAAATCACATCCAAAAATTTTCTATCTCTATTCTTTAGTTAATATCTTTTTTCCTGTTGTGTATGTTTTACTCTTTTTTCTGCAGCACGATAAAATTATCTAATATATTTATTGATTTATAAAGGGGGAAATTGGTATTTGAATCACCAATTATCCTCCCTTTATATATATAAAGGGAAATTAGTGGAATTCCTATATGCATAGAAAAATTAACACGTGACATATTATAAAAATATAAAAAGTTAACATGTGTCATAATATAAGTATCGACATACATCTTTATCCTATTGGAAGATGACATATGGACACGTGTCATATTATAAAGATATAAAAAGTCAACATGTGTCATAGCGTAAGTATCAACATGTCTCTTTTTCCTATTAGAAGGTAACATATGGACAATCTCATCAAATCTTCATTCGTAATTAGAAAAATTCTAATAATCAAATATTTTTCTAATCTTTATCAGATTATAACAGTCCATAGTTTAAAAAATCTCATAAAATACTATAAGTTATTTATATGCCCATATTTATTAAAAAACAGAGTATATATAAAAAAAATAGAAAAGAAAAAGTAGCAATTTAAAAGAAAAATTCCTTTCAATTAAATCTAAAAGGACGTTCATAAGACTCAAGAAAAAACCTCCAGAGACGTATAAAAAAAATTTAACCTTCTAGACTTACCTGTACGATCAAAATACTGAGTTAGTATAATTTCATATTATCCATGCACCACACATTTATCCAAACAGTAACTTTAGGGGTGTGTGAGGACAAAATTACCCTTCTCCCAAATCAAATCAGGCCAAGTTCAAAATGGCATTTTCGGCAATCCAACTCTCAAAATTACTGTTTAGAAGTGAATACAGCAAACATGCACATTTAGATGGATAGATAGATTAGCAATTGCGAACCCCACTTATTGAGTGGACGTGGCTTATCTAGAAAAAACTTTAACGGCAGACATCACTAACGACGTCAACTAACGGAGACCGAACCCTCCGCTACCTCGACCTTTCCGACGCCTCACGAGACTTCCTAGTTCCTCCCAACAAGGAGAGAAAGCAAGCGTTGCCGTTCAAGGCACGCCTTTACAGCTCATACCGTACACGTGTCGCGTTCTTATTGGGTTTCTCTAACGACTTAGGTCGGCAACCTCGGCTATAAATTAAGCCCCAATTCTATTTTTTTCCCTCATCAAAATCTTTCTCAAGCGCCGCGAATATCTCCGATCGTTCTCTTATCAAGGTTCGTTCAGAGATTCTATATTCAACATTTTTTTCTATTTATTTTTTGCGTTTTTTTTTCAGATCCCTAGATTTATATCTGTGGTATTTCTTAGACCCTGTTGAGATCCGTAGATTTTAGATCTGTGATTCTCCTTGGCCCTAATTTAATTGTTTGATCTCAACGATCTAGGATTCGTGTTTTTGGATTTTGGCCATGATAATATGACGATGTTGGGTCTGATGGGATTGAAATCTCCAGGAGTTGTGATAAATAATTTTGTCTTCATGGGTTTAGGGCTTTTGGTTACAATTCTAATAGATCGTCTCAATTTAAGAGATTGTTTCTGTTATTGTGAGATTTTTGTGAAATTATGATAACATAAAAAATATGTCTTAGATCTGATTGATTTGGGAACTGTCTGAACTTTTGATGGGTAATTTTTTTATGAACAAATTTTTTAAACAGACCCATTCTAACTTTTTATTTTCAAAACCGACTCTTTTTGCAGACTAATCACCTTCCTAAATAGTCGGGGGTGGCAACCCCGACTATTTAGGACATTAATTTTTAGGGTTTAATGCTTCTAATTAGGGTTTAACACCGTCCTAAATAGTCGGGGTTGCCAACCCCGACTATTTAGGAAGGTGATTAATCTGCTAATCATAAAATCGGGTCGGTTTTGGTAAAAAAAAAAAAAAGAGTCGGTTTTGAAAATTAAAAATTGAAATGGGTCTGTTTAAAAAATTTGTTCTTTTTTTATTTATCATCTACTCATAATTAGAGACAACATGTTCTTCACTTTTCGCTCAAGAAATTAAAATAGAGCAGCCTTTGTGATTTTTTCCATCAGATTTGATGAAAGAACTATCGTAACTTATGATGGATTATTTCTTTATTTTCTCATGTATTTTTGGTTAAAAACATCATGAGAGAGAACATAGTATTTGCTTTTCTTTGATTTATTTATTTAAAAAAAGCAGACTTCATTAGAACTTTATGATGGATAATTTAAGAGATTGTTCCTATTATTGTGGACTTCTTTTTATCAGAGCCTTCGGTCTTGGATTTGATTAGATTGAGGAACTTTAAAGACCTCTGCTTGTTAAGCTTTTTATGTTAACATGTATTGTTGGTTAATCAAAAACATATATAGGGGTACACGATCTTTTCTTTGATGAATTTAAAAAATGCTCGAGAGATTTTGGGAGTTCTTCCTGAGGAAAATTATATCTTATTAACTATTGAGTTAGTATATAGGATCCCATGAAAGATTTTTTTTTCTGGGGCTGGAAATTGCATGATTGAATTGCATTCTTGTTTAATATCTATTTAATGATCCATCTTTTCTTCTTCCACTGCTTGCTGATCATCACATTTTCTGGTCTACAGATGCAGATCTTTGTGAAAACCCTCACAGGCAAGACCATCACTCTCGAGGTCGAGAGTTCTGACACCATTGATAATGTCAAAGCCAAAATCCAGGACAAGGAGGGGATCCCCCCTGACCAGCAAAGACTGATCTTTGCCGGCAAACAGCTTGAGGACGGCCGTACCCTCGCTGATTACAATATCCAAAAGGAGTCCACACTCCACCTCGTCCTCCGTCTTCGTGGTGGGATGCAGATTTTCGTCAAGACCCTCACTGGGAAGACGATTACTCTCGAGGTTGAGAGCTCCGATACCATTGACAATGTAAAAGCCAAGATCCAGGACAAGGAGGGAATCCCCCCAGACCAGCAGAGGCTGATCTTTGCTGGAAAGCAGCTTGAGGATGGCCGAACCCTCGCTGACTATAACATCCAGAAGGAGTCTACCCTCCATTTGGTGCTCAGGCTGAGGGGAGGCATGCAGATTTTTGTCAAGACCCTCACTGGCAAGACTATCACCCTTGAAGTGGAGAGCTCAGACACCATCGACAATGTAAAAGCCAAGATTCAGGACAAGGAGGGCATCCCCCCAGACCAGCAGAGGCTGATTTTTGCTGGCAAGCAGTTGGAGGATGGCCGTACCCTTGCTGACTACAACATCCAGAAGGAGTCGACCCTCCATTTGGTGCTCAGGCTGAGGGGAGGCATGCAGATTTTTGTCAAGACCCTAACCGGCAAGACCATCACTTTGGAAGTGGAGAGCTCCGACACCATCGACAATGTGAAAGCAAAGATCCAGGACAAGGAGGGAATCCCCCCAGACCAGCAGAGGTTGATTTTTGCCGGCAAGCAGCTTGAGGATGGCCGCACCCTCGCTGACTATAACATCCAGAAGGAGTCCACCCTTCACCTTGTGCTGAGGCTGAGGGGAGGCATGCAGATTTTTGTTAAGACCCTAACCGGCAAGACCATCACTTTGGAAGTGGAGAGCTCCGACACCATCGACAATGTGAAAGCAAAGATCCAGGACAAGGAGGGAATCCCCCCAGACCAGCAGAGGCTTATCTTTGCTGGCAAGCAGCTTGAGGATGGGCGAACGTTGGCGGATTATAACATTCAGAAGGAGTCCACCCTCCACCTTGTCCTCCGTCTCCGTGGTGGTATGCAGATTTTTGTGAAGACCCTCACCGGCAAGACCATCACCCTGGAGGTGGAGAGCTCCGACACGATTGACAATGTGAAGGCGAAGATCCAGGACAAGGAGGGGATCCCTCCGGACCAACAGAGGCTGATCTTTGCAGGCAAGCAGCTGGAGGATGGACGTACCCTCGCGGACTACAACATCCAGAAGGAGTCCACACTTCACCTGGTGCTTCGTCTTCGTGGTGGGATGTGAATGGGTCGGCTCGCATTTGGGTGTCTCTGCTAGTTTACTGTTCGTTTGAAAACTTTGTGTCTGTTGGATAATGGCCAGCCGAAGTGTGATGGCTGGCAGTCCTTGAACTCTTTAATATGTAGTTTCTTTATGTTTTTATGTTTAGTACTTTGTGACCGGTTGGTAATAGTGTCTTGTTATGTGGTAAATAATCTTGCGATCGTGTGGTTTTGTTTTGTTCGTTTTGGCAAAGCTTCTTCTGTGGATGGCTGTGTTCTCAGATTTAGCTCGGACAGAGACGATTGATTTGATTTGAGCGAGCTTGAGTGAGCTTTTGCATGGGGTCTGGAATCTAATCGAACAATCGTAACTTTTAACGCAGAAACTGAAACTGCAGTCACATGATACTTGTTAAACAATTCAGACAACAGTTGATACTTGTTAAACAATTTCGATAACAGTCGAGGAATTAGGCTGGATTCATGTGAGAATCCACCCAAAAAAAAAAAAGATTGACAGAGTATTTACTTCCATTTTTGCATGTACAAATAACAATAAACTCAACATCGACACCAGCATTTTATAATTTCAACATTGTTGAGAATATTTGAAGCTAAAAAGAACATTTTATATATCAACATATGCATAAATAAGCTACATGTGATCATTAAATTGGCTGCAATTATATCTCTGTCTGTACAATTACCATGGTAGCTGTTTGGATAAATCTTTTCTTCCATTTTGTTTTCTTCGAAGTAAAGCTGCAAATAAGCTCTTTTGCTACCAAATTGAACTAGCAAAAAAAAAAAAAGAAGAAGAAGAAGAAGAAGAAGAAATAAAGCGGCATAGTACAAATGGTGAGTATTGCTGTACTGAGGATCAAGTTATAACGGTTTACAATCAATTACTTAATCTGAAATAAAATGCTACAAAAATGATCAGTGTCTCCTTACAGAGTCCATTCCTATGACAAAATAATTCATCAGAGAACTAAATGAAAAATATATACAAACTAGGAAAAAAAATAGTGGGTACAGAGCAAACTTCTACCAATTAAGGACTGACTCAAACAGTCAAACTGTGTCCCTCGCTCTATTATTCAAGCTATGTATATGTAAGGAACACGGCTGACCCAATCAGGAGCTCTCCCCTCTTGCCACAGCACAGCAAATCCCGGATTGCAATTCGAGATCTCAAGCATTTTCAAAGAGCTTGGCAAGCTAGATGGCAATGATCTGAGATTAGGGCAGCCAGATACGGTCAGTTTCTCGAGAGAATGAAGCTGATGAAGATCCCTGGGCAACGACCTGAGACTTCTGCAATCAAGGATGCTAAGCTCACGGAGAGATGTGAGCCCTTTAAACCATCTCTGTTGCTCAGCAGTAAATGAGTTGAGTTTGGAACAACGCTCGATTCTCAATTCATGAAGAGATGTAAGGTACTTATTTAGCACTGGTCCAGTAGGAAGCAATGTATCAGTAATGCATAGAGAAGTAAGAGATGAAAAGCTCCCCTCCTCTTTCTCACTGGCAATCCAAGATTCGAGGTGTTCACAAGAATCAATCTCCAGCTTTTTAAGCCATTTGAATATTTCTCCTGGAAAATATGTCAGTTGCAGTTGTGATATCTTTAATGTTTCAAGAGAAGTGAGGTTGATCAAGCGGCCAGGAATCTCAGCATCCAGATCAGGACATTTTCTAACATCAAGCTCTTCAAGTGTCTGAAGCATAGAAATCGGAGGCAAACCCTTGACCCTTTCACAATTTTGGATCACGAGCTTACAAAGGCAAGGAAAGAGTTTGTGCCCTTGTTCTGATACAATTGGCATGCCTTCAAAGAAAACTGAACTCTCATTTAACCACAACTCTTTCAAGGATGGAAACACTTCTACCGTCTCTCCAGCTACTTCAATTACTGAATTCATGATTTCTAGTTTGAGAACCTCGAGAAAGGGAAGCTGCCAGAAACAAGGAAGATGGTTCCATTTTTCACAGCCTCTAAGAATTATGACTTTGAGATTAGGTAGTGATTCTTTCACAAACCAACTTGGAGATTTAGGGCCTCTATACCAGTGAATTTCCAACTCTTTGAGACCTGAAGGTGGCTTTAGGTGTTCAAGTACATCCCTGTGAGCATCAGGATTGCGTTTAGGATTCCATCTCATCCACTTCAATTGAAGCTCTCTGATATGGACTTTGTCCTTCAAGTTGGACTGAAGAACCTCATCCTTATTTTTTACATCATCGAGATAATTGATACAAAGTGAACCTCGGAGCTCCTTCATGCACTTTAATTGTCCTATGTCATGCCCCTTCACCCTTTTTACATTAAATACGCTCAATTCCTGAAGATGGGTGAGCCTGCCGATCCCCGCTATCCTTGAAATTGCTGCCTCACTTGCATTCAGATGTTGCAAATTGACTAGATTTGTGATCCCTTTGGGCAATCTATCACATTTATGAGGCAGTATCAGTGACTGAAGATGATAAAGCTTGCATAATGATTCAGGTAAAGTAAAAATGTAGTTTCCATAGAGATTCAAGTAGCGCAGATGTATAAGATTGCCTATAGAATCAGGCAACTGCGTCATATAGCTGTGAGATAAATCTAGCACTCGAATTCTTTTCAGAACCTCAAACTGTAGGCAATGCTTTGTGTTAATAATGAGAGTCTGCAAATTATTCCATTCCAACTCTGAATTAAGGCCATCCCATAATGAAACAGATAAGTGGCGAACTGCTCTTCGAGTCCCATCCAATTCAGTACCTTTATAAACAACAATGTCATCGAGACATATAGACTCTGCTAGCTCATGTAACAATTCAGGCATCAAATAGTACTTATCTTTCCAATACGATTTAGTATAACAAGGGAGTTCAAAGAATGACCTGGATAGTAGGTGATCAAAGTATTCTCGTCCAGCATCCTCCATTAGAATCAGTCCCTGAGCCATCCATATTTGAACTAGTTTATCGATTTGAAATGCATAAGCTTTGGGGAACACTGAACTATATATAAAGCATCTTTGAAGTTGCAAAGGTAGGTGCTGAAAACTTAATCTCAGGTACGGCATAGCATCATCACAGGCCTTTCCTGATTCCAATAACTCACTTTGAAGAATCTTCATCCAATGATCACAATTTAGCTTCTCTCTTAATGCTCCTCCAACCAACTTTGCTGCCAGAGGGAATCTCTGCAACTTCTCAGTTACCCTTCTGACAATGCCCTCTAGCTTTGGATGCTTATTAGGGTCTTCGTCCCCAAATGAACATTTTTTAAACAAAGCCCAAAATTCTTCGCCTCTCATGCCCTTGAGAACAATCTTGTTCCTCTTACTCTCCTCATCCAACATCCAATCCTCTCGGGCTGTCAACAAAATTTTGCTACCCTTCACATTAGTGTCTATTGCAGCAAAGCGTAATGCCCAATCCTCACTTCTAACATCATCCAACACTAGCAAGAACCTTTTACCCTTCAATTCAGCCATCAAGTTCCTCTCAAAGAGGTCCAACAGCTGAAGCTGATCAAAGGGTCCACTCAGATAGAGAGACTCTTCGAGCTCTCCTGCGATTCTCATCATGTCAAAAGTGTCCGAAGCAGAAATCCACTCCCTCATATGAAAATACTTTTCTACTCTTTCATCACTATAGATAGAATTAGCAAGAGTGGTCTTGCCAACACCTTCCTTGCCGATTATAGGGATGATACAAACATTTTGTTCGCCAGGATCCAACAACATCTTAACCAGTTCCTCTTTCTCGTAGTCTCCCCAGTATACCTCCGCATTGATCAAGGGCTTATGTAGAACTCCATTTAAGCCTCCTACAACAATATCATTATTCTTATCTTCTGATGAATCATGATTAGGTGTAGTGCTTGTTTTCTTCCTAACATCCCCGCCATCAAAGCACTTGCACATTTTACTAATTTCAGAAATCAAGCTCTTCAATTTAGGTAAAAAATTTCCTCTACTCTTTCCTCCTCTTAGGTTGGCAGGAACTTGAGCGATGTCATCATCATCGCCATTTTGAATATCAGGCCGAGATACTGAAGGGCGAGTGATGGGCTTATTTGTGTTTGTTCTAATGAGTTCTTCAACTTCTTGCTGTGCTGATTCATCAACAATATTGTTGGCCGCACATACATCTCCAGTGATCGGAGGGTTAACAACCTCATTATTGTTATCCTGATCAATTGTACCCTCTAAAATAGCAGCAAAATAATCCAATTTCTCTACAATTATGGCTATCCTATCTTCAATGGCACCACTACAAGAAACATCTTGGACATCAACTGAATCAAGAGCAGGTACTGCAGAAAACAATCTCTTGAATTTAGAGGGAGAAACAAATAAAATATCAAGAACAAATTTTCAAAATAATCCCATTTAATTTTTTATTAAAAAAATCGACCCACTCCCATTTTATTTCTCAAAACCGACCCATTTCATGGCCACGTCAGTCGTCAGCAGCGTGGGCGTGGCCACGAAATGGGTCGGTTGTTTTAATGACGCCTCTAAATAGTCAGGGTTGCCAACCCCGACTATTTAGCTATAAGCTAAAATAGTCGGGGTTGGTAACCCCGACTAATTTAGGGTCCTGTCTAATAGGTCGGGGTTGGAAACCCCGATCAATTCAAAAGCAGTTTCGAAATGGTCGGGGTTCCCAAACCCCGATCATATGGCAGAGACTATCCACCCAACCCAGCTGACGAGTCAAAATTGGCTAAGGAAAATAGTCGGGTTTAGCAAACCCGACTATTTTGTTCTGGGTCCCGCCACCTATATAAACCCCCCAGGTCGTTCCCAGCCATTATTCCGCGTTCTCAGCTCATTCCCAGTCGCCTCTCTCCGTCGTTGTCGTCTCCTAAGCCAAAAATATCGCATTTTTACGCCATTTTTGTGCGGAATTTCATCGTGAAAGATCTAACAGGTACTTTCTCTTCATTCTCTCTTCTTTTAACACGTAGAAATCTAGGGTTTTCTCTCCAAAACGAATTTATAGTGCTTGAACTCTATTTGTAGTGGTTTATTTAAGAAATTTATTCTTGTTGTAGTTGAAATTAAACATTTTGGGCATAGAATACTCAATTTTAGGGTTTAGAATTTGGGGGTCAATTTTAGGATTTAGGATTTGGGGGTTTACGGTTGTAAATGAGTTTTAGGGTTGTAATTGGGCTATTGCTTACGACACATTAGAGCTAACTTTAAAAAAAGCTTTGGTCAAGTACATCTACAAAACCTTCTTTGGCAAGCGGGTGTTACATCCGAAACGTGTGTGTACGATCGGATACGGGATCAAATCAAGGCAACATCTCAAGCTGCTCATGATTGGATTGAGAGTAGTTTGGGAAGCGATTACGTCGACCGGTGGGCACTAAGTAAAGATGGCGGGAATCGCTATTACATGATGACAACTAATTGTTCTGAAAGCTTCAACGGTGTACTTAAGGGGGCTCGAGCAATGTCCATACAGACGTTGGTTGCGAGGACATTTTATAGACTAAATCAGTATTTTGTCAAGCGGCGAGAGGATGGAGCAAAGTGGGGGATGTTGTTCACCCCAAAAAATGAAGAGATTATAGGAGCTCGTGTCAAGCAAGCCAGATTGACTAAGATTGTTAGATTTTCTATAGATAAATGGGAGGTTACAGACAATCACGGTCATAATTACACCGTCAATTTACGAGGAACACAATGCGCATGCACATGTAACATACTAAAATTGTAAAAATTGCCATGTCCACATGTTATAGCGGTTACGACCAAGCAATTTGAGGGTGCAAATACATCGTATTACACATACGCTTCTGAGTGGTATCAATCAAGCTACTATAGAGATTCATACAGTCAATTTTTTTATCCCATCGTAAATAGTCGTTACTGGCCACCCTATAACGGGCCGCATGTGTTACCTCCTGAATTTAAGAGACAAGCCAGACGTCCGAGATCAACACGCATAAAATCTACGATGGATGAAGGTCAGGAAGGAGTTCCAAAAAAATAGGTGTGGATATTGTAGACAACCAGGCCATAGGAGATCTCATTGTCCCACCAATCCAAATAGATAGCAATTAATGGGCACAATTAATTTAATTTCTATTAATTATTCTACTTCATTTATATTCGAATTTTGAACTTTTATTTTACTTCATTATATTCTACTTCATTTATATCATCATATGTGCAAATATGGAGGCGGGTCCATTGACGTATGAGGTCCTTTATGACCAACCTCGACATCGATCCACGAAGATTGACACTGGGAAGGAAATTAGATTGATAGTTATTGTTATGGTAATTTACCATCTAAAGATGAAGATGTCGAGAGATTGACTGCATAGGCTTAAAAAGGGCATGGTCCAAACCAGCTTAGAAGCCCAAAAGTCCAGCTAAGGGCAAGTCTATCAGCTAGCTAAGCAGACGAGTCATCTTTCGACCAAGGGTCATCATTACCGACTCGAAGTGCGGGATTAGTCGGTCCCTCGTAATTAAGATGACTCCTCGAGCAGACGTCCCGACCATACACTCGGCCCAAAGCTCACTCGACTATCGGGTAGGCAAATCATAATGATGACTCACAAGATTAACCCGTCTCGACTAAGAGGATAAGATCCGACTAAGCTCACTTCAGATGTCAATCGACACTACAGCATTGATCAGTCCCATCGAGATCTCCGCTCTGACAAATGCCATGCATAAGCTGTTTATTCTCCTCACAAGTCACTTCCCAGAGATCGTCATGATGCTCTCATGGGCTCTAATAGTTTCCCCTCCAATCACCAACCGTCATCTGGAGGGGAGAGGACGACCAAGTAGCTGACATATCCTATGTCCTGCCTCATCTGTCAAATCCAGGATACTGGGAAGACATTTCTCTCCTGTATCCGAATGACTTCTCTTCCAATCGTCAGTCTACATCTGGAAGGAGAAGGATGACTCAGCAACCTGTCTGTTCACCCCTTAACCGCCTCCTGTGCATAGTCAAAGCCAAGGATCAAACTCTCAGAGGCAATGTGCTATAAAAGGAGGAAAAGAAGGTAACAAGAGAGGTAGATTTTTTCTGCTGCTACTTCACTAAATCTCTGATTTTTTACTTTTGTAAAAAAGAACTAATAACTCTCAAAGAGTATCCTCTAAGGACCTCAATGGCCCAGGGACTCTCCATCAAACCCCACTCAAGCCCACTAGCTAACTTGACCGTCGGAGGTACCACGAGAGAAATGAGCCTCGCCCTCCCACGGGTTTTTCCTTGTTTGTGCAGAAGGATCGGAAATTCCAGTCTAAGGATCGGGCATAAAATCGGAGGAGGAGTCGACCCCATCTCTCATCCTCTTCCTATTCGCCGCCAGCGCGAAGACCAAAACCGCAACCCCCTCGACTGTGTGATATCAGACATCAACAGTTATAAATTACATTTTCAATCAAATCAATTATTCTAAGTTATTGATTGTTACTGAACATTTGCACTGTTTGTTATATGTAGGCCCCGAGCATTACTATCGTTGATCATACTCGTGCACATTCGAGCTGGGAGTTGACTGATCCACATGTCCGATATAATGTCCGTCAAGCATGCTTCTTTGAGTACTCACAAATTAAATGGGTGAGACTTGATTGGGCTCTCTTAACGGCACTGGTTGAACGATGGAGGCCCGAGACAAACACATTCCACCTGCGCTAAGGAGAGTCGACGATTACATTACAGGATGTTGGGGTTTTGCTTGGACTCAGAGTGGATGGAGATGCTGTCACAGGTAGCGACGACTTCGATTGGTCAGGGAAGTGCGAAGCATTGCTGGGTCAAGTTCCTCACATGAGGGGTGGAAGGATCAAGCTTCAATGATTGAGAAACAATTACATGAATAATCCGATTGATGTGACCGAGAAGATCGTCAAGATGTATGCCCGTGCATACATACTTCACATAATCGGTACTATTCTTTTCCCGGATTCCACGAAGGATTCGGTGCACGTGAGGTGGTTGCCACTCCTGGAGGATCTTGTGGATTGTGGGGATTGTCATGGGGGAGTGTCGTGTTAGCGTATCTGTATAGGGAGATGACCAAAGTGGCTCTTGTTCAAAACAAAGAATTCAAGGGTTGTCTCACTATGCTACAGATATGGTCTTGGGAGAGATTGTATTTGGGTTGCCCAGATTTGAGGGAGGCACGTGTTCTCGATGGTCATATTCCGTTAGGCTGCAGGTATTACTAAGTTATTTTAAAAAATATATGATTACATGTAATTTTATACATTTATTTTAATTTATACTAACTCATTGTATATAAAATAGATGGAATGTATCCAGATCTTGGCATACCTCACCAAAGGGCCATGAAAACTTCTATAGGAACGAGCTCGATCAAATGGAGGACGAACAGGTATTAAATCATAATATCTAAAAAAATTTAATTATTACAACATTTATTACTAAAATCTGCTTTACTTTATTTTTTATAGGTCAAGTGGATGTCATATGAACTAGTTTTAGAGTCACTACCAGATATATGCAGAGAAGAGCCGGATGTATGGCGTGCTCGTGTCCCGATCATATGTTTTGAGATTGTCGAGATGCACGTGCCCGATCGTGTGCTCCGACAATTTGGGCTACAACATATCCCGGACCCTATGGAAATAATAGAGATAAATCCCAGAAAATGTGCACATCGGCAAGATTGGGAACATATTCACAGTGCTTACATCGGGAGATGGGATTGGTGGGAAGAACAATTGGTGATGGAGAGGGCTGACGCACCTGACCTAGGTGTGTATTTGCGGTGGTATTGGGAGATTACTCGTCGGTGGATATTTCAGGAGAATAAAGCCCCTAAGGAGTACATACCGAGAGACCCAGTTGAGAGAGAGTTAGTAAGTGTATAAATAAAATATACAGTTATCTTGTGAGTTTTATTTTATTATCATCCAAATCATAATAATTTTCTTGGGGTTTTTATCTTATAGGTACAAGAGCTCGAAGAACTTTCTACTATGGCGCATGATGCAATCCAAACGACTACCGAGTCAGGGCCGAGGAACACGTTCATTAGCATGATCAAAAAGATTCGGTCCGCTCTTCAGAGGACGCGTAATGCAAGACGTGATGGACGTGAGGAGCGACCAATTGAGTACGATCGTCAACGGTTCCGAGGACACAAAGGGGCAGGCTCAAGCGGTGCACATGATGAAGCTGGCGGCTCACAGCAGGCCCAAACCGGATGTTCACGGTCGGTTCGAGTCGATGAGGATGTCATGTACTCCCAACTTCACACACAACCGGACGAGGAACTCATCCGAGCTCACGTCGAAGGTGAATGTGTCAGGGGGAGGGGGAGGGGGAGAGGGAGAGGGAGAGGGAGAGAGAGAGAGGGAGAGTAAGAGGGAGAGGAAAGGGAGTTGTATCCGATTGAAACTGAATATTATGTATCTGATTGAGTATTGCTAGGATGTTTGCGTTTGAAACTAAATATTATGTATTCAATTGAGTATTGGTTATTAGTATGTGAATTGCATGGTATGTATCCGATTGATTATGAATTTTTATTTAAAATTATTGATTGGTATGTGTTATTGTGATTGTGATTGCATTGTGGATTGATATGTAACAGTATGAGTTTGAATTTCCAGCTAAAAGTGGGTGTAAGTAGAGTCTGCCAAATGGTCGGGTTGGGAACCGTGACCTTTTTGTGCATGTACACGAAACGGTCGGGGTTCTCAACCCCGACCATTTTGTCGTAGGAAAACTCTCCTCTGCTAAATGGTCGAGGTTTCCAACCCCGACTGTTTTCAGCTCCATTCGGCGCCTGGGCTGAGCTCTCTGCCATATGGTCGGGTTTGGGAACCCCAACCATTTCGAAATACTGCTTTCGAAATGATCGGGGTTTCCAACCCCGACATATTAGACAGGGCCCTAAATTAGTTGGGGTTGACAACCCCGACTATTTTAGTTTGTACATAGCTAAATAGTCGGGGTTGGCAACCCCGACTATTTAGAGGCGTCATTAAAAAAATCGACCAATTTCGTGGCCACGTTGCTAACGTGGTCACGAAATGGGTCGGTTTTGAGAAATAAAATGGGAGTGGGTCGATTTTTTTAATAAAAAAATTAAATAGGTTTATTTTGAAAATTTGTTCAAATATCAACTAACCCTTTTATTTACTGAATTTGATTAAGCGGGTTACCTCCTCCTCCTCGATTATTAGTATGGGGATCCCCAGTTTGCAAACCTCTAAATTGAGAAATGGAGGGGCCAGTGATGGGCTTATTTGGGTTCGATCTGCTGAACTCTTCAACTTCTTGACGCAGCGCTTCGTATTCCAGGTCGTCGACGAGCTCGCTGGTATCGTAAGCGACGTCTTTGAGTTGGGTTAGCAATTGGGTATTGAATTTTAACTGTTTGTTTGCTAATTGAAGCAGTGATTGATGGAGTTTTTTGAGTTGAGAGTGAAGGAGGGAAGATGATGTGGGCTGCTTCTGAATGTGGGTAGTTAAAAGATGAAGGGCTGATTGGAGAATGGGATTTATGAAAATTTCTGACGAATTTGGGGAAAAAGCCATTGGAGCCGACAATTCTCTTGAGCGCTGGAGAATTGATCATGAGAGTTGTCATTGCAAATTGCAACTAAGAAAGGACTGTGTGTGTTGATGAGAATGACTTAATTGCCCTACCAAATGAGAAAAAATGGCGCTTGAGTACCTTGTACTTTCCCCTACTCCCGGAAAAGTATCCGGTTCCTGAAGGGCTTGTTTGAGGTGAACAAAGAAGTGAAGTTAGCAGCTAATAAATTTTAAGACATTTATTTATATACTCTAATTTGTTTGTTGTGATAGCGCTTAAAATTTTTAAGACTTACACTTAAATATCTTAAAGTTTTTAAAACTAATAATCAAATAACCGAAAGTTTTTAAATTTTGCATAATTGAAGATATTAAAATGCAAATGTTAAGAACTTTAGGGTACATAAGTGCTACCAGAAATAAATGAGAGCATGCAAGTGCGACTTTTATGATCTTTAAAAATATATGCAAGTGCTGCCAAATACAAGTGGAAGTATATAAGTGCAAAGTAGAGAAACCTATAAGGTATTTAAGTGCAATTAAGCCTGATAGGAATAGTATAACCATTTTATTTAGCACCAGACGTCATTCCCTCGTATCTTCAATAACTCCATATTAGTGCCTCACATATTGAAAATTGCTTATAAGCCCTTCAAACGCATAGAGGTCTTGCTATTGGGTCCCTTGATGACCAAAATGCTTCCAAGCCAAATATTGTTTTCTATACAAAGAGGTTTCAGTTTAGGGCATGTTTGGTTATTTCCTAAAAAACCAAGAAAACTCAAAAAGTATAATTTCATTCATTTTCATCTCTAAAACCCACACACAACATCTAATAAAATATTATTTTTATCCAACAATCCATCCATCATATCTAATAAAATATTATTTTCATCCAACAACTCATCCATCACATCCACCACATCTAATAAAATATTATTTTTATCGAACAACTCATCCATTACATCTAATGAAATATTATTTTCATCCACAACATCACTCAGGGGCTGTTTGGTTGTATGTTTTTACCATGTAAAAGGATGGAAAGTGTAAAAAAGTGGGTCCCAATGTCAGCTTTCATCACTTTCAATTGTTTGTTTGTAGTTGTGAAAATAGTGTAAAGTGATTTCATATGCTGATGTGGCTTGTAAAGTAATTTCATAAAAAAAGTCATGATTTTAGGAGAAAGCTGACATTGAAGTCAGAAAAAAATAATAATAAATAATTCTCAGCAATATGATCATTTGAGTAGGGACCACTTTTTACACTTTCCAAACAAACAATTAAAGTTACATTTACAAACCAAACAAGCAATTTATGATTCCAATGGAATCAAAAACAAACAAAGAAAAATATAAAAGTAAAATTGATGAGGTGGACAACAACTTTCCAAGTTGTGTCATAAATACACAACTTTACCAACAACAACCAAACAGCCCCTCAACCCATCTCATCTCATTATTTTAAATCACTCACATCATCCAATAAGATGGTGACAACTCATCTCATCTCATTAACATTTTATTTCCATAAGATGGTGACAACTCATCTCATCTCATTAACATTTTATTTCCACTCATTTCCTCCCAAAAAGCTAGGAAAACAATTTCCTTAAGTGTGGGTCACATCATCCAATAATACAATTTCCTTAAGTGTGGGTCACATCATCCAATAATATAATGATAACTCATCTCATCTCATCTATTTTTTTTATTTTTAAGAATGAACCAAACAAAAGAAAACAACATATTACAAGAAATAGGTTTCTTATAATTCATTTCCTTATTTTTTTTCGTCAACCAAACAACATCAAAACAAGTTTTCTTAAAAAATCACTCACATCATTCTATAATAAAGTGACAACTCATTCATCTCATCTCCATTTCTTTGATTTCCTTCTTTTTTTAGCAAACCAAACACTCCCAAAACAATTCTTCTTAGATATAGTTTTTCATTTCTTTGATTTCCCACTTTTTTTAGGCAAACAAACATACTCTTAGCCGTAGCCCGTAGATACAACTAGTTGCAGAACTCTAGCCGTTCTCAAAGATTAAAGAAAAAGAAAAAAACGATATCTTAATCACGAAATTGTCCTTATTGCTTTCTAGAAGTTTAACTTATTCAGATCATTCAAATCTGCAAAAAAAAAAAAAAAATTCTGCTATTTGGATTCTTATTAGTTATAAAGCTTTTCTAAATGACAAACACCTATTTGATATAAACTTTGAAGCTATAAACAGATATGTTCTCATAATACCGCAACGAACAATTACGTTTACCCAATTATGTCTCGCCCTGATAATTTCAATGTTCCTCAAGAATCTAAATTAAATGTACGACCTTCTGAAATTCACAAGTTGTGTTCTCAAAAATTCTAAATTAAATGTACGCCCTGATCATTCAAATGCTGTGACGTGCTGTGCTCCTTTTTGATAGAAACTAATTTCGTGCGTCCCTATTAACATGGAAGGAAAATGTTTTCGGTTGCTTCTGTGTCAGTTGAACTGGCTACTGAAAAGAGAGACCTTTTGAAATAGAATGTGAAGATAACCTTAGAAACTACAGGATTTAAATAAGATAGGAAACAGAGTCTTAGAAAAACAAAGAAAACAAATGAGGGGATACTTGCCATTTTGAATGCAAAAATGTAGCGTTTGTTTTACTAATCATTAATCATAATTCATCATGATAATGAGACCATGAAGAGAATGTTGTCCACAGAATTGATGGATGGCCTGCAGAATCATGTGACTAGATTGCCAAAGAAGGAGAAAACAATATTACATGCTAACATAGGTTCAATTAGCTAAGTATTAAAGTCTTGAATTTAAAAACTATATATTTAACTTTGAGGCATAAATACATAAGACATGAAATAAATGGATTGAGGAAAATTCTACTTTTTGGAAATCTAATGTAAATAGTCGACGGTTTAAAAATGTGCATGCGAAATGATCACACCGTCTAAAACCAACGCTATAATTGCTGACTAACTAGCAGAGGCCAAACTAGAGTTTTGAGGTAGTGTTACTGTGTTAAAGTCGAACTACCAGAATGATCTATAAATCCGAGTATTAAGTAAATTTTTTTTTTTTAAAAACTAGGGCTTCATAGTTCTTATGAACCTAACTTATTGAAATTCCATCCAGTAAAACGGAAGAATTATAAATTTCCAAAATAATAGATAGAAATATCGCAAATAGAGCCATTGCGACTCCCATAAGTGGTGTAGTTCCCCAGCCCGGAGCTACTTTACCATATTCCGAATTCAATGGTTTCAATAAACTGCCTACGCTAGTTTGTCTGAGGTTTTCTAGTATAAGTTCCCTGAATATTTTATTTACATATTAGTCCACATACAAATTGATAATTTGATATAAGTTTTTCACATTATATGCTCATATTTCTCTTGCGACCAGAGCTGTGGAGCAAACACTATTTTGTTCCTCCACTCATATTTCTCGTCTTCTGCTGGGCAGGATCGAAGCAAACTCAAAAAGATCCTTGAAAGCATCTAAAACTAAAGCAAGATCAAAAAATTAATAAAAGTTTGTCACAGTGTCATCCAACTATACAACAGGAAATTGAACTCATCCTACAGAAAAATGAAAGAGGATGATAGATCTTTTCTGTTAAATTATCCGATTCATCTTCAACAATACATAATTCTTTGAAAGAACCAAAAAACATAATCATTTTTAGCTATACTAAGAAATAAAAACAATTAGAACATGAGGGAGAATGTTTCAGCATGCCTCATTGATAGAGATGACTTCTCTTATGAATGAGAGACCAAACATGAAAACCAAGTAAAACTAGAGAGATTATAAGGAAGCCACCTGAAAAGACAATTCTAACCTTAATAATAATAAAGATGCTTGTGTTACTTCTAAAGTTTAGTCATTGACTCATCGCCCAGCTACATGATTGAACATTTTGTAGCTAGAATAAAATTAACTTTACTGTTATTGTTAAGTACACTAAGCAACTAGATTTAATCAATCAAAACATTTATATTAGTTAGCTATTTATTAACATTCCACTCCAAGAAAAGACTAATATAACTACATTATCCTAGTGACACTAATTAAAGAGAATAGCTTAAAGAAAGAGTAAGTTGACCTCTCATTCCCTTGATTAAAAATGTATTCCAAAAGTTTTTTATATTAGTTGATAACATTCCATTCAGTGAAAAACTAATACAGTCTACAGTATTATAGCAGCACGACACTAGTTAAAGAGAATAGGTTACCCAGACCTAACAAAAGGGGAAGTTGACCTCTCATTCTCTTGATTACAAATGCAGTGCAAGTTGATAGAATAAAAGCAATATTTGAATATAGTGAGTAGTTGTCTAGGTACTTTCTCGTCTTAGTACATGGGAATTCTCTTTGGTCAACCACATTACCCAGCCAGTTGCTAATTCTCTGACCTCTTTAATTGATTAGAGAGATGCACATCGCCAGCTTTTACTTACATGGGAGTTGCACTAGCAAAGAATACCTTCGAACGCTTTCAATGGTTGTCTCAATAAGAAGTCGCCAGCTTTTCCATAAAGCCTTTGCTGCAAGTAATTTTATTGGTTATTATTATTTACTGTTGTTTTAGGGACACAGCACGTCACAGCATCCGGATCCTTATCTAATTCAGAGTATGCAATTAAGCATAGGAGGACCATCCAAAATACCGATACACAAACTAGGCAAAAAAAATTTGGACAGTTCACAAAGACACAAGTTGTAAATACTTCAAAAAAAGTACATATTTGGAAACAAATTACTCAATGTTGACTTTTTTTCTCCTGAAATGCTATTTGAATTCATTGAAGAATTGTAAAAGCTCTATACTAGAACACTTAATAAAAGGACTAACTTGTAATTTGTGAAGGAAAGACTTCAGTCTCATGTTAATTTCAAAATATATAAATATGGGAAGACAATTGTCTCTACCTTGAAGGAATTTAGCCCAATCTTACATGGAACCAGAGCTTGATTAAATCTTCCAAGTTGATACATTACGTCAGTGAACAAATAAAACCACTGTGCTGTTACTAGACCAGATGTCTCTTATGTCATGAATGTTGTCAGTTTCTTGATTCTCCTTGGATGTTGTTGTTTACATACTTGTGATATCTCAAAGGCACTGCACTAAAAGAATTTTTGTATCAATATCATGGGAATTAAGACATTAAAACGTCGACTGGATAGACTTCCTTAAAGATGCAATATCAACTACTAGATGTTGTGTGTTCTTTGGAGGTAACTTAATATCTTGGAAGTGTAGTGTCTAGAACACGTGCTGAATCTGGCAAAATGGTGCGTGTGAATTTATGTGGGTGAAATTCTTTCTTGCAATGACTAGAATATCAACATCCAAAGCTGTTGAAGTGTGGTAGTTAGTTTGTTATCTAGATAGCTGACAATCGAGTATTTGATGAGGCAAAACATATAGGAAATGTTTTTCATCTGTTGGAGAGAACATTTGCAACAAGCGATTCAAACAACATATAAAAGTCAAAGAAAAGGTCAGCGAATTTGCTTGCTAAATCATGGGAAGTTAGACTTGTAAGGTCGTCTGAATTTCATGATATACAAATTAGGGAGGAACTACCGACTCTACCAAACGGCATGAGACCTGATTTCAAAAACAATTGAGAGAAGAAAAAAAGGATATCTACTTTATGAAGAGATCCATTTCTGGGAACGATGAAACTGTATACTTTTTCTATGAACAAAAGTCAATACTTAGAAAAAGAGGAGGAAATATATTGCCATAAACCGCATAAAAGATTACTCAAACTGCATCTGCTTGTTAGGATTGGTTGAAGATCTGCAGTTGGCTGAGATCATGCAACAGCAACACCAAAGTAAGGCATTTTATTGGGATTAGTATACATGCAACAGCACCACCAAAGTAAGACATTTCATCGGGTTAATGTATATAGAAATTGTTCCTAGCATAAACTATGAAATTATTCCCTTTGTTTCTTTAGGACAAAGAATAGCTCACTGTTTTAAAAAACTTCCGCCTAGTCCGCTTAGGCGTACGCCTAGGTCTAGGCGGTACCTAGGTCGCCTAACTAGCGCCTGGCGCCTAGGCGGTATTTACGCTGCCCATCCAGATTTTACGAGCGTTTAGGAGAGCATTGTCTGCTTATGTGGATTGCACTCTATAGGCATTGGTTGTGATTTTATGTGTTGTAGCCTACACGTCCTCCAAACTCCATTAACCTCTAAATATGAACACCTCCACTACCCCCTCCGACCTTCAGCAGAACCTCATCGACCACCACTTAAATAAAAAAAGAAATCCGTCTAGACACCAGTCCGGCATCTAAGTTTCCTATAACATTGACATTCACTATCAATTATTGTAATTAAAATTTTAAAAAACATCTTAGGCTCTAGCCTTGTTAATTATTGTTTTGACTATTTAGTATCTAAGTATGCATGATTTATTATGGAACTAAGATTGCTATTTTTTTAAAAAAATTTATATGAATTTAATACATGTTTTTATCAATTATTATAATTAAATAATTTAAAAATAGTCAAACGCCTAGGCGCTGCATAGGCGTATGCCTAGGGGTTTAGGCGCTAGGTGTTCGCTCAAATGCCTATTCTGCCTAGCGTCTTCTATAACATTTTTGAGCTCCCTCAATCTCTGTAACTACTAACAAGGTAAAGAGTACTTCTTAAATATCTATTTAAGTTAGTTAACAACAATAACTTAAACTTAAGAAGTATAAGTTAACAGTAAACTTAAGTTTAAGCTAACAGTAAACTTAAGTTTAAGTTAAAGTTAATATTAAGTTTTTTGTTGATGGTAAACTCAAGTTTAAGTAAACAGTAAACTTAAGTTAACATTAAACTTAAGTTTAAGTTTATTGTTAACTTAAACTTAACGGTAACTTATAAGTTAACAGTAACTTAAGTTTATGCATCTTTGATTGGGTATATATATATTTATCTTCAAGTATCACAATTAAAAAAAGAAAAAAGAAAAAAATGCCCAGAAACCACTTACGCGCCCGCCTAAGCGACTAAGCGCTGGGTGTCAAGTCTGACGCCTAGAAACGCCCAACGTTTAATGTAACATTCAATAGCTAATAACCATTCAGATAATTTCAATATTTTACAAATAGATAAAATCTAAAAAGTAAAATAAAATACTAATATTGTATGATTGACAAAGGATCCATAACCTCTAATAAACTAGCAGGGAGTTTGTAACCTCGAATACGGAATAACATCATATTCTTAGTGATTCCTCAGTCTATCAAGTTTTGATGTCGTGGAAGAGATAAAATGGAACATCCTTACTTGGAACCTTCAGAGGGAATCCTTCATATTCCTACGCTCGAGACATCAAAGAGTTGGAAATTGAAGCAATGAGTGACCAAATATGAAATAGGAAATCATAAGCCAGCACGTCTTCTGAAGCAAACAATTATCCAATGGGAAGATATACCACAAATACTCAAGAATGACAAGAAAGTAAAATTATTGATAAGATGTCACAGGTTATGATAGCTTATTAGTTGACTGTAATTGCTGTAACCAACCCATCATTGCTCATCTTCAAAACCATAATGTCATTTTGGAAAAATTGAATAAGAAGAAGTCAATTCCCTGATCAAGATATCAGATGCCAACACCTAAGAAAATTTTGTTCAGATGAAATAAGATCCAATTCTGCATAAACAAATGTATAATAGATGCACCATCAACGAAAACAACTTTAGAGAATATCTGAACCTAAAAGAACATTTTCATAAATGCAACAACATAATAAGCTATATTTATCATTGACTTGGCTAAAGTTCTTGTCCTTTCTGTACAATTTATCATGCTAGCTGCTTCATTATTTTCCTTTCCTTTTCCTTCAACGTTGAGTTTTGACATTTCAGCCTTGTATGAAAGAAATTCATTGATAAACCATAATACAGGACCAGGATAAAGCTTTTCTATAGACATTTTAACCTCCCATTTGGTGACTAGATAGGACGTAAGTACGTTTTTTCCGATTCCAAATTGAACTAAAATAAAAAGAAGAAGAAGTCAAGTTGCAGATGTAAGAAGGATGAGCCTCGCTATACTGAAAATGAAGAGTTTATCAGTTTATAACCAGAGCCAATCTATTACATTATCTGAAATAAAATGCTATAAAATTGAGACAGTCTGTCCTTAAAAGAGTCCATGCTTATGACAGATAATCTAGTAACTTCATTATACGGAAAAAAAAAACTCAAGGTATTGTTACTGGTTTATCAATATAACACACAATCAAGTCAAATAAGGAGAAGAAATAGAGGATCTAGAGCAAACTTATAGAAATTAAGGACTTACTCAAGATGTCCCCTTGGTCTTCCATTCAAACTATATATCTGTAAGGAACTTGGTTGACCCAATCAGGAGCTCTCTCCTCTTGCCATAGCACAGCAAACCCCGGATTACAATTCGAGATCTCAAGCCTTTTCAAAGAGCTCGGCAAGCCAGATGGCAGTGATCTTATATTAGGGCAACCTGATACAGTCAGTTTCTCAATAGACGGAAGGCATTGAAGATTCCTGGGCAATGACCTGAGACTCTTACAATCAATGATGCTAAGGTCACAAAGTGATGTAAGCTCTTTAAACCATTTCTGTACCTCAGCAGTGAACGGATTTAGTTTGGAACAGCGCTCGGTTTTCAATTCTTCAAGAGATGTCAGGTACTTTAGTATCGGTCCAGTTGGAAGCAATGTATCAATAATGCATAGACTGGTGAGAGATGGAGAGCTATCCTCTTTCTCATCGGCAATCCAAGATGTTAGGTTCTCACAAGAATCAATCTCTAACCGTTTAAGCCACTTGAATATTTCTCCTGGAAAAGATGTCAGTTGAAGTAGTGATATCTTTAATGTCTTAAGAGAAGTAAGGTTAATCAAGCAACCAGAAATTTCAGCATCCAGATCAAGACATTTTCTCACATCGAGCTCTTCAAGAGTTTGAAGCATAGAAATGGGAGGTAAACCCTTGACCCTCTCACAATTTTTGGATTGCAAGCTTACAAAGGCGAGGAAAGAGCTTGTGTCCTTGCTCTGAGTCAATTGACATCCCTTTAAAAGTAATTGAAGTCTCTTTTAACCACAGCTCTTTCAAGGATGGAAACACTTCTACCATCTCTTCAACTACTTCGATTACAACATCCATGTTTTCTAGTTTGAGAACCTCAAGAAAGGGCAGCTGCCACAAATGAGGAAGTTGCTTCCACTTTTCACAGACTCTAAAACATATGACTTTTAGATTTGGTAGTAACTCTATCACAAACCAACTTGGAGATTTTGGGCCTCTATACCAGTGAATTTCAAGCTCTTTGAGACCTAAAGGCGGCTTTAAGTGGTCAAGTACATCCTTGTGAGTATCAGGATTGCGATTACGATTCCAACTCATCCACTTCATTTGAAGCTCTCTGATATGGATTTTGTCCTCTAACTTGGCTTCAAGTACATCATCCTTACTTTTTACATTGTCAAGACATTTAATACAAAGGGACCCTTGAAGCTCCTTCATGCCCTTCAACTGTGCTACGTCATGACCCTTCAACCTTCTAATATGGAATACCTTCAATCCTCTAATATGGAATACCTTCAATCCTTGAAGATGTGCGAGTCTACCAATTCCAGCTATCCATGAAATTGCTACCTTGCTTGCATTGAGATGACGCAAATTGACTAGATTTGTGATTCCTTTGGGCAAGTTGTGAGGCAGTATTAGTGACTGAAGATGGTAAAGCTTGCACAATGATTTGGGTAAACTACAAATGTAGTTTCCATAGAGATTCAAGTAGCGGAGATGTATAAGATCGCCTATAGAATCAGGCAACTGCGTCATATAACTGTGAGATAAATCTAACACTTGAATTATTTTCAGAACCTCAAAACTGTATGGAATGCTTTGTGTTAATAATAAGGGTCTGCAGATTCTTCCACTCTAACTCTGAATTAAGGCCATCCCATAATGAAAGAGACAAGTAGCAGACATCTCTTCGAGTTCCATCCAATTTCCTACCTCTATAAACTAAAATGTCATCAAAACATATAGACTGCAAAGGTAGTTGCTCAAAGAATGACCTGGATAGTAAGTGATCAAAGTATTCCTTTCCATTATCCTCCATTAGAATCAGTCCTTGAGCCATCCATATTTGGATTAGTTTGTCAATGTCAAATGCATAACCTTTGGGAAAAACCGAACAATAAGCAAAGCATTGCTGAAGGTGCAAAGGTAGTTGCTGATAACTCAATCTCACATAAGGCATAAGATCACCATAGGCCTTATCCAATTCCAATGATTCGCTTCGTAAAATGCTCATCCAGTATTCGCAATTTAGGTTCTCTCTTAATGCTCCTCCAACCAACTTTGCTGCCAGAGGGAATCTCTGCAACTTATCAGTTATTCCTCTGCCAATGCCCTCTAAATCTGGATACGTATTAGGATCTTCATCACCAAATGAACATTTTTTGAACAAAGCCCAAAATTCTTCGCTTCTCATACCCTTGAGAACAATCTTGTTCCTCTCTCTCCTCATCCAACATCCAATCCTCTCGGGCTGTCAACAAAATTTTGCTACCCTTCACATAGTGTCAATTGCAGCAAAGTGTAATGCCCAATCCTCACTTCTAACATCATCCAACACTAGCAAGAACCTGTTACCCTTCAATTCAGCCATCAAGTTACTCTCCTAGAGGTCCAATAGCTGAAGCTGATCAAAGGGTCCACTCAAATAGAGGGACTCTTCGAGCTCTCTGTAGGGAATTACGAGGCTACGCTAAACCCCTAAAACAGCAAGAAAACGCAATAGAAAAAAATACATCAAGATTTACGAGGTTCAGGAAACTTGTCTACATCCTCGGAAGCCACATAGTAAATTTCTTTATTACTTAAAGAAATATACAATCTTGCAAAGAGCAGATCTCAAAACACCCTTGAGATCTCTCAATCAAAAGAACAAATAGAGAATCTTTCTCTTTTTCTAAGCATGAGATTTTCAAACTGAAAATCTCTGCAATAAATGAGAAATCGCCGCTAGAGTGATTCTTCTCAATAAATTGAGAAATCGCCGCTAGAGTGATTCTTCTCAATAAATTGAGAAATCACCGCTCCAGGGCTTGAGAAGAATCTGTCGTCAGAGAAAATCGCAAGAGGAAGAGATCAGCACAAGATTCTCGTGCTATGGGTTCCTTTTTATAGGGAACCCCTAGCCACAGGCTGTCGTTGTCCTGTCTCGACCTCGCCTGCCTGGATCTCGCCTGCGTTCGAGCTCGCCTGTGTGGAGTTCGCTCGCCTCAACCTCGCCTGAGTGGAGCTCGCCTGCCTCAAGCTCGCATGCGTCGCCTCTAGCTCGCCTGCTTTGTCTCGAGCTTGTCTGCTTGGAGGTTTAGGTCTACACCTCAAGTCCAACAATCTCCCACTTGGACACCAAACCATAATCAACAAGCCCTTTTATAGTGTGGCTCCGCCCTTATCGCCTATGCATGAAGACCAACTGAAGTTGCGCACAACTGCAGTTTTTGAATGGTCAGTCTTTGTTAACATATCTGCTGGATTCTTACTTCCTTGGATCTTCTCCAGTTTTAACACGTCATCTTCCAACAGGGATCTGATGAAGTGGTAACGAAGTCCAATGTGCTTCGTTCTAAAATAAAATACTGAATTCTTAGCCAAGTGAATCGTACTCTGACTATCACTGTACAAAACATTCTTCTCCTGTTTGAATCTCAGCTCTGTTAACAAACCCTAAAGCCATATCATTTCTTTACTAGCTTTAGTCACTGAACCGTACTCAGCTTCTGTAGGACAGAGTGGCAATCTTTTGTATCTGTGACATCCAACTAACAGTTATAGTTCCAATAGTGAATACATAGCCGGTGGTGCTTCTTCGGTGATCTACTTCACCTCCAAAGTTTGCATCTACGTACCCTTGCACTTCCATTTCTCCCTTACCAAAATGCAAACACTTTTGTGTGGTGCATCGTAGATACCTCACAATCCACTTGACCGCTTCTCAATGAGTTTTTTCTAGATTCGACATGAACCGGCTGACCACTCCCATTGCATGGCCAATGTCTGATATCGTACAGACCATTACGTACATCAAACTTCCAATGGCTGAGGCGTAGGGGACCTTAGCCATACTCTCTTTCTCTTCTTCCGTCTGAGGAGCTTGATTCTTTGATAGGCGAAATGGTTGGCTAAAGGTGTGCTGACTGGCTTGGCGTCGCCCATATTGAATCTCTGCAAAACACGATTGATGTACTCTGTTTGAGATAACTGTAAGAGACCTCTCTTTTTATCTCTCATGATTTGTATTCTAAGAATCTTCTTTGCTGGACCCAAATCTTTCATGTCAAACTCCTTTGACAACTGCTACTTCAAACTCCTGATATCTTTCATATCTGCACCTACAACTAACATATAATCAACATACAATAGTAAGATGATATAATTGGACTGATATCTTTTGAAGTAGCAATAGTGACCGGCGTTGTACTTCTGAAAACCTTTCTTGTGCATGAAACAATCAAACTTTCTATACCACTGTCTTGGGGCCTGTTTCAAGCCATACATGCTCTTCTTAAGTCTGCATACCAGATTCTTCTTCTTTTCTTCTAGAAAACCTTCTGACTGGTGCATATATATCTCTTCTAGATCTCTGTGAAGAAACGTCATCTTCACGTCTAACTGCTCGAGATGAAGATCTTCAATAGCTACAATACTCATCACTGTCCTGATAGTATTGAGCATCACCATGGGAGCAAAAATATCGGTGTAGTCAATTCATTTCTTCTACTGGAATCCTTTGACAACTAACCGGGCTTTATATCTTTTGGAGCCATCCTGCTTCTCTTTTATCCAGTACACATTTTTTGTGGAGTGTCTTCTTACGCGTGGACAACTCAACTAGTTCTAACATCTGGTTTGAGATGAGAGACTTCATTTCTTCTTTCATGGCAAGCTCCCACTTGCTCGCATCTTCACTCTGACAAGCTTCATCATAGCTTTCAAACACCCCTCCATCTGTTAACAATAGATAGTTCATATATCTCATGTTGGGCATAGTAGGCCGAGAAGATCTTCTCAATATCGGAGTTGGTGCGTCGGGCTCCTGCGCACCGTTCTGTCCAATAGGCTGGCTGAGGACATGCTGAATTTGGTTCTTTCGAGAAGTTAATTGGGACATCATCTGCATCTACAAATATTGACTCGCTCTCCTCTGAGTCAAAGGCATCTGTCTTGTGCATGTCCTTGTACATCACCTTCTCATTGAATATCACATCTCTGCTGCGGATCACTTTCTTATTTTCGTTATCCCAAATACGGTAGCCGAACTCATCTTCACCATAGCCAATGAAAGTGCATTTTTTCGACTTGAGATCAAGCTTATTCCTGCCTTGATCACTAATATGCACATAAGCTACACAACCGAAAACTTTGAGATGTGAGAGTTTTACCTCATTTCTGCACCATACCTCCTCTGGTATTCTATGCTTCAATGGAATCGATGGCCCTCGGTTGATCAAGTAAACTACTGTATTGACTGCTTCTGCCTAGAACTGTTTCGGTAGACCTGACTGTATCCGAATGCTTCTGGTTCTCTCTCAACGTTCTGTTTATCCGCTCAGCTACACTATTATGCTGAAGAGTGCCAGACACGGTTCTCTCCATTCTGATCTCGTGCTCATAACAGAACTTTTTGAATCCGGTGTCTTCATACTCACCACCATTGTCGGTTCTAAGCTTCTTTATTCTCAAACTTATCTCATTCTCGACCATAGTTTTTTATCTCCTAAAAGCTTCAAACACTTCTGACTTGTGCTTCAAAAAGTAGACTCATACTTTCCGAGAGTGATCATCGATAAAAATCATGAAATAGTGTTTCCCATCAATGGGCGCGATGATGATTGGTCCCCAAACATCTGAGTGAATGAGCTCTAGCTTTTCCTTCTTTAGGATTCTGTCACTTGTCTGAAAACTAACTCTCTTCTGCTTTCCAAGTATGCAATCTTCACACATGTCTATCTCCACTGATTTTAGAGCTGGGAGTTTTCCTTTTGTGTGCATGATCTTCATCCCCTTCTCACTCATATGATCGAGTCTCTAGTGCCATAAATTTGAAATCTCATTGTCTGCTGCAACTGAGATCAAACAGTGTGCACTTGCTGTCATATATAGAGTACCAGTCTGCTTACCTCGGGCAATCGTCATTGCGCCTTTTGAGATCTTCCAATCATCTTCATGGAAGGTCATAGTGTAGCATTCGCCAGCCAGCTGGCGTACTGAGATTAAGTTCTTTCTCAGGTCAGGAATATGCCTGACATCCTTCAGCTCTCATACTGACCCGTTCAACTTAATTTTCGCTACACCTTTGCCTACGATAACACATGATTGATCATCACCACGATCTACATATCCAAGATTTTCGGGGACATACTTTTCAAAAATTCTTTCTGTGAAGTAGCATGAAACGATGCTCCCGAATCTAACATCCAAGATTCCTCCTTATTCACTAAAGAGCATATCAATGCATCATCTCCCCCTGAGGTAGAATTAACATTCATCTCTGTCTTCGCCTCATTATCTTTCTGTGCACTCTTGCACTGATTTTTGTAATGCTCGGTTTTCCCACAATTCCAACACTCGATGGTCTTCAAGCCATTAGGATTCTTGGATTTGGACCTTTTGTCCTTTCATCTACCATGGTGGTTTGATCTACCTCGTCCGTTCCCTCTGATTGAATCTACCTCTTGATTCTGAATGCAATACTGAAGAGGTTGTAGCTTCACCCGACTCTCTCCGTCGGATCTCCTCACTAAGAACTAGATCACGAACGTTATGAAACTTTAACTTGTTACTTCTCGACGAGCTACTCACAGCCATGATTGTAGTGTTCTAACTTTCTAGTAGGGAAGACAAAAGTATCAATGCTCGAACTTCTTCATCAAACTCAAATTTAACTGAACTCAATTGTGTTGTGACCATGTTGAGTTCATTTAGGTGTTGTGCTACTGATTCGCCTTCCGCTATTTTCAGATTGAATAACTGTCTCATTAAATAAATTTTATTTGCGGCTAATGGTTTCTCATACATATTTGAGAGTGCTGCCATAAGACCCGCCGTGGTCTTCTCCTTCGCTATGTTGAACGTAACATTATGAGTTAGTGTCAATCTGATAACTTCGAGGGTTTATCTGTCTAGAAGGTTCCACTCATCTTCCTTCATAGACTCCGGCTTCTTCCCTGAAAAAGATTGATACGGATTCTTTTGGTATAGATAATCCTCTATCTGCATCTTCTAAAATCTAAAATATATTCCATCAAACTTCTTTAATCTCACATTTACTTCATCTGCGACCATTGCTTCCACTTAAATCTGACTTCTTCTAGATCGTTTCAGGCTCTGATACCAGTTGTTGGGAATTACAAGGCTACGCTAAACCCCTAAAACAGCAAGAAAACGCAATAGAAAAAATACACCAAGATTTACGAGGTTCGGGAAACTTGCCTACATCCTCAGGAGCCACATAGTAAATTTCTTTATTCCTTAAAGAAATATACAATTTTGCAAAGAGCAGATCTCAAAATACATTTGAGATCTCTCAATCAAAAGAACAAATAGAGAATCTTTCTCTTTTTCTAAGCACGAGAATTTCAAACTGAAAATCTCTGCAATAAATGAGAAATCGCCACTACAGTGATTCTTCTCAATAAATTGAGAAATCACCACAAGGCTTGAGAAGAATCCAACGTCAGAGAAAATCGCGAGAGGAAGAGATCAACACAAGATTCTAGTGCTCTGGATTCCCTTTTATAGGGAAACCCTAGCCACAGGCTGTCGTTGTCCTGTCTCGACCTTGCTTGCCTGGATCTCGCTCACGCTCGAGCTCGCCTATGTGGAGTTCGCTCGCCTCAACCTCGCCTGAGTGGAGCTCGCCAGCCTCAAGCTCGCCTGTGTCGCCTCGAGCTCGCTTGCTTTGCCTCGAGTTCACATGCTTGGAGGTTTGGGTCTACACCTTAAGTCCAACACTCTCCTGTGATTCTCATCATGTCAAAAGTGTCTGAAGCAGAAATCCACTCCCTCATATGAAAATACTTTTGTACTCTTTCATCACTATAGATAGAATGAGCAAGAGTGCTCTTGCCAACACCTTCCTTGCCAATTATAGGGATGATACAAACATTTTGTTCGCCAGGATCCAACAACATCTTAACTGGTTCCTCTTTCTCGTAGTCTCCCTAGTATACCTCCGCATTGATCAAGGGCTTATGTAAAACTCCATTTAAGCATACTACAATAATATCATTATCCTTTATCGTCTGATGAATCATGATTAGGCATAGTACTTGTTTTCTTCCTATCATCCCTGCCATCAAAGCACTTGCACATTTTACTAATTTCAGAAATCAAGCTCTTCAATTTAGGTAAAAAATTTCCTCTACTCTTTCCTCTCTTAGGTTGGTAGGAACTTGAGCGATGTCATCATCGTCGCCATTTTGAATATCAGGCCCAGATACTGAAGGGCGAGTGATGGGCTCATTTGTGTTTGTTCTAATGAGTTCTTTAACTTCTTGCGGTGCTGATTCATCAACAATATTTTCTTTTTTGCAAAAAATGATGGATTACCAAACTGGTAATCCAACCAGCTAAATTAATCATAACCTGGTTGTTACATAGAGGCACACATCCCCAACCAAGAATATGTATTAAAGTTCATAACACAGTTACAAAACAAAAAGAAACACATTCCTGATCATAGCTTTATATCTCCCCATATAAAGGAGAAAAGCTTAACTACTACCAAACTAAAATAGTAGAAAGTATCACATCTAAACAAGTTTTTAAAACCAAAACACAATCAGTACAAAGAACTTTGAAATTAGTTGTCATTCCAGCTGAATCACCATGTTCGCAGAACTATCCTCTCTTCCAGCAACTCCAACAACCTACAAACTTTCATCATTCCTCTTTCTTCTTCTCTTTTGAAGCCTAGCAGCTCGAGCAGAGACACTTTTAGAACCTAGCTAAAATGTTAAAAATGTCATAATTTTGCTCAAAAGCTCAAGAGCCCTCTTCCATTTATTAGAAAATCATTCCGTTTCTTGCCATACACACCAAACAAGAGAACAGATAATAACATCTCTTTTTAATTTTCAAATGTCATCATCACCAACAACCCAATTAATCCACACTTCTTTTAATGAACTCAGTCTAAAGCCTTTCTCAATATTCAATTTGAATTGAATTGACCTCCAGATTGAGTATACAAACTCACAATCAATAAAAATGTATGATTTTCATCTGATTTAGAACTTAAACATGAAGTCATCTCTAAATAAATTCCTTTTTTCCCAGGACATCTTTTGTATTTAAACTACGCCTTAAAGCTAACCAGACAAGGAATTTCACCTTTAAAGGAATGGGAAGTTTCCATAAATTTGCACAATCAAATCTTAAGTCTCCATCAATAAGAAATTGATAAAAAGACTTCACTGTGAAACTTCCTTTAGCATCTCACAATCATTTTCTCTTAACTTCCCTTTGTTCTAAACAGACAGAATAAAGGAAATTCATCAAATTAAAGTATTGGGAAACAGAATTACCAGTTAACTGTCTTCTAAACTGTACATCTCATACTCACATATTATTCTCATTCTTTCTCATACTGCTAATAGAATCAAAAGGAAAAGAGGTGATAGAAAAAAGAAATGGAAATAAAGATGCAATGGTATATGGGTCTAACCATTTGTCAAGCCAAAATAAAGTGTGATTTCCTCCACTTGCGTACTGCATAAAAAGCTCTCAACATTAACAAACAAATTCCTCCAAAAATGTGATAAATGTAATCTCCCAGAATGTAAATATTCTGTCCAATTTTTTCTTTCAAAATATTTATAAAAACTAATTTGTTTCCACAAATCACACTTTCCATCAAACCATTTTCAAAGTCATTTCCCTAACAAGACTTTATTCATGATTTTCAGATTTATAATCCCCAAACCACCAAATTGTTTAGGTCTACATACTTTTTCCCATTTAACCAAATTAGTACATCCTTTATGATCCAAATATCCAAGTCACAAAAATCTTCTTCTCATCCTATCAATTTTATCAATGATCCATGAAGGAAATAAAAAGAAGGATAGCCAAAAAATTAGCATGGAAGATAGAACTGGGTTAACTAAAACTAGTCTACCTCCCCTTAATAAAGATTTACCTTTCCACATGGCTAACCTCCTCTCAAACTTCTCAATCAAAGGAGACCAATCATCTTTCTTTAATTTTTCAGGTCTCAAAGGAACACCAAGGTAAGTAATGGGAAAATTTTCACTTTTACAGTTCGGCATAGTGGCCAAATTCTGTTGTAGAGGTTCATTATCCTCCAACGCAATAAGAACACTTTTATTAAAGCTTATCGTTAACCCAGAAACAAGCTCAAAGCAGTAAAGAATCAGTTTCAACATTGTTAGTTGTTCTCTGTTATTTTTACAAAAAATCAAAGTGTCGTCTGCATATTGCAAACAACAAACTTTGTCATTCATATTACCAGGACCTAACCCTTCAATAAGATGAGCATAAATTGCTATATTCAACATCCTAGTAAAAGAATCAGCTGCCTAAACAAAAAGCAAAGGTGATAAAGGATCTCCTTGACGAACACCTTTTTTGGACATAATCCAACTTCCAGGTTTACCATTAATATTAATTGCAGACACACCTCCTTTAAAGTAAAGTTTAACCCAGTTTATCTATCTGTCACCAAACTTCTTAGCTTTCAGAACATCCAGGATAAAATCCCGGTCCAACATGTCATAAGCTTTTACAAAGTCTAACTTTAGTAATATTCCTCCTCTTTTATTATTCTGAAAACAGTCATTAATAATTTCCTAAGCTGTAGCCACACCATCAAGTAAAAATCTGTTCTTAATGAAACCAGATTAAACAGGATCTATAAGCCATTCAAATTTAGAATTCAATCTATTAGTCAACACTTTAGTAATCACCTTATAAATTACATTCAAAAGGCTGATAGGTCTGTAGTCATTGACTGTAATAGTCTCACTTTTTTTTGGTATAAGAACAATATGAGCATAGTTAAGCCTATTGATTTCTAATTTTCCTTCATAAAACTCCTCAAAAATTTCATAACATCCTTTTTCACAATTTCCCAAAAAACTTGAAAAAAAGGGCAGGAAAACCATCTGGTCCAGAAGATTTGTCCTCATTCATATCAAAAATAGTTTTGTGAACTTCCTCCTCAGAAAAAGGTTGTTCAATATCATTAGGTCCACATTCTACCAAAGGAAAAATACAATTCCAATCAAACTGACATCTGTGAGTCACTTTTTGACCAAAACCTTGGTTATAATGATTTGAAACAATCTGGGCTATACCTTCTTCAGAGCAAACTTCAACATCAATGTGTGTGATAGAATAAATCAAGTTATTCCTTTTCCTACCATTGGTAATTTTATAAAAAAATCAGTATTATTATCACTTTCTTTACGCCAATGTGCTTTGGCTCTTTGTTTCCACATTTGTTCCTCTTGAAATAAAATCTCATTTAACTAGAAGAAATGTCATTTTTTGTAATCAACTCATCATTAGTTAGATCTATATTCTCCTCTATAACTTCTCATTCCAAGAGATAATCTAGCAACTCCTTTTTCTGTTTAACACTGTAAAAATTAGAATGAACCTATTGTTTAATACACTTTCTCATAAATCCCAATTTACCAACAATATTTTTGGCAGCAGATATATTATGGATTATCTCCACAATCAAAACTAATGGGAGCATGATCAGATAATTGACTACTAAGATCTTGTTGTTTAGAGAAAGGAAAAGCATCTTCCTACTCAGAGTTGATTCAACTCTGTCGAGTTTAGCCATGGAAGGAGATCTTCTCTTATTTGTTCAGGTAAACTTTCTTCCATGTAATGGACTATCAATCAATTCCAACTCATTAATTACATCATTAAATTCCTCCATATCCTTCCTATGAATAGTTTTACCCTTTCTTTCAGCAGCATTAATAATGACATTAAAACCACCTACCACAACCCAAGGTCCTGTAAAACTATTTTTAGCATCCTTGAGTTCCTGCCAAAACAAAAGTCTCTCTTTATTACAATGAAGACCATATACTGAAGAAATATTCCAAACAAAGCCATCTCTCTTATTTTGTAATAAAACAGTCAAAACATATTTTCCAGATGAGTCCTATAATTTTTTCCATTTGTTGTTATTCCATCCAATCATAATCCCACCAGAAGCACCAGAAAAGGGCACATAAACCCAATCAAACATGTTTTCACCCAAACTTTTTAAGATATTATCATCAACACAACTCAACTTTGTTTCTTGCAGACATATAACTTCAAACTTATTCAATTGACAAAAATATTTAACTCCAAATCTTTTAGTACTCAAACTTAATCCTCTAACATTCTATGTAACCAACATTTTGATATAACAAAACACCTCAAACTCAAAAATTAGAGTCTACTCAAAAGTAGCTCTCTCATGCTCCATTTGCCTCACTTTTTTTAAGAAGTCAAAATCCCCTTGAGGCTCAAGAAAAATGGCACGTTTAGATGCATAATTTTGCAATTGCTTATTAGAATAAGCATCAAACAAAATAGGAACAAAAGAAAAACCCAAAGAAGAAGAATTTTTACTTGACCCACTTGAAGAAGTTCCAGGAGTTTTTTTATCAGCATTTTTTGTTGTAATTCTTGAAGTGGCTCTATCTAAAGCAGTCATAGATTCCAAATCCACAAACCTGGAGCATCTCCTGACAAAAGTAACTTTTGAGTTGAAATTAAGATCTGCAGGAGGTAGGGAATTCAGAGGTTGAATTATAGGAATGTCTTCTTCCTTCTCTAGAGTCTCATCATTGTTGAAAATCACAGGTAACCATTTCTCTGTATTATTACTTTCATTAAACATTAAAGCCTTGCCTTTTGAACCTTCAAATGTAAAATTCGCTTCTTCTTTTTTGCTCTGAATTGTCCTCTATATTAATAGGAGACAAAGGAACAACTTCCTCCAGTTTAGTATTTTTACTTTTTCCACCTTCTGTGTCCATCAAATGCTCAGATAAACCTTCATTATCAGTTACCATAATTTGCTCTGGACATTGTTCATCACCAACAGTTTTGGAGGAATTATCTCCCTAATCCCCCCAATCAGATTTTTGCTTCTGATAATTTTTTTTTTTTGCATCATTCCATAATCTAGCAGCTGGAGATCCTCATGGATTATTTCTCAAATTTTGTTTAACATTCCATGAACCTGTATCAGAATCTTTTAAAGATGAAGAAACAGTTCCACTATCCTTTCTCCCTTTAAACCATTTATCATTATAAGAGCTCTGATAATTGTCTTCTAACTGATCCATTTTCTGTTTTTTCTTCTCCTTCAAAAATTTCTCTCATAACAGACTAAATAGAGACCTTAACATTGTATTGATTTTTTCCAAAAAAAAAATCTTTAAGATTTTAGGAATATCAATGTACTCTAAACATCTAACCAACATAACAGCATCCACAAATTCAGAACTAGCACTTGTTAGAGAGTCCAGTTCAACCAAATCAGCAAAAGGCTTTACCATCAATTCAAAAGATTCTTTATTCCACAAGTGAGGAGGAACACTTTTCAGTTTGATCCAAACCTGAGAATTTCTCTTTTCAACCACATTACCTTCCCAAGCATTCCATCTTCGAAGCTTAATTTTACAGGATCTTAAGGTTATAACTCTCATCCTTATCAAATCCTCCATCTGCTTCCATGGTTGAATTTTAACCAATACTTCTCCATTGGTAAAAAGTCTCACATCCCAGTGCTTATTCACAGGAAAATAAGCCCTCAAATATAATTCCAATATTTTTAAAGAAACATTACCTCCTTCAACAAACGAAATTATAGCAAAATTTCTGAATTTTTGAAAACCTGGGCTCACCTCCCCCTCAAAATTAAGTATAGCAGAAGAGAATCGAGGACGTTCACCTGAAATTTTCAATTCAGCCTCCAGATCTCCATAGTCTCTTGGTCCTTGGTCTTGAAACTGACTAACAGTTTCTTGTAGCTTGTCTTCCTCTACAGAAGATAGAGGCCTTTTACCTTTATTCTGTTGATGATCTTGATTTCTTGAAGAAGAAAAAGCTGAAGTTGTTCTTTCCCGACGCCATTGCCATGGATTAGGACGACCAAGACCACCATCTCGCCCAAAATTTTGCCCAAATCGGCCACCATTACCCCGATTCCCAAAATTATTTTGATTTCCAGCATTACGACAACCAAAAGAACCACGCCCTCCATTGTTAAAACCGCTTCCACCATAACTATGACCTCTACTATCAGATCTATCACTGCCATGAACACCCACTCTACAATTTCTCGCTTCATGACCAAATTCTTGACATTTAAAGCACACAGTTGGATCACGGTAATCTTTCGCCATTGGATCACGGCAATCTTTCGCCATGTGTTTCGAGCCCCGACAGCGAAAACACACGATTTCTTCGGATGAAATCTGCAGACAAAAATTTAGGAGAAGCGGATCTTTTGAAGAGTTGCGGCGATCTAGGGTTTCGTTTAACAACGCTAACCCAATTGCCCTTATCAACATCTGCCTTGAATTCATCTAAAGATCTGCAAGATGGATCAATCCCCACCATTGGTTCTAACCCAACCCTAGGGTTAAAAGAACCATAGTTTTCTCCACACCGGACCAAGAAATGGGCTGAGGATCTTGATTGGGCTTTGAATTAAAAGAAAATTTAGGGAACAGAGAAGGATCATGCTCACCCCAAATGCTCCTTGCCACAAATTTTGTTCTTTCGATCGGCCCAGACTTCGTCCCCAGAGCTTCCCTCGAATTCGCCCCCAAAATCACCATTTTAGCGATCTTCTGGGCCGGTAATCAACAATATTGTTGGCAGCACATACATCTCCAGTGATCACAGGGTTAACAACCTCATTATTGTTATCCTGATCAATTGTACCCTCTAAAATAGCAGCAAAATAATCCATTTTCTCTACAATTATGGCTATCCTATCTTCAATGGCACCACTACAAGAAACATCTTGGGCATCAACTGAATCAAGAGCAGGTACTGCAGAAAACAATCTCTTGAATTTAGAGGGAGAAACAAATAAAATAACAACTAACCCTTTTATTTACTGAATTTGATTAATCGGGTTACCTCCTCCTCCTCCTCGATTACTAGTATGGGGATCCCCAGTTTGCAAACCTGTAAATTGAGAAATGGAGGGGCCAGTGATGGGCTTATTTGGGTTCAATCTGTTGAACTCTTCAACTTCTTGACGCAGCGCTTCGTATTCGAGGTCGTCGACGAGCTCGCTGGCATCGTAGGCGACGTCTTTGAGTTGGGTTAGCAATTGGGTATTGAATTTTAGCTGTTTGTTTGCTAATTGATGCAGAGATCGGTGGAGATTTTTGAGCTGAGAGTGAAGATGGGAAGACGATGGGGGCTGCTTCTGAATGTGGGTAGTTAAGAGATTAAGGGCTTGTTTGGATTGAGGGGAATGAGGGTGAAGGGGAGTTAGGGGAACCATTCAGCTCTATTCATCTTGTTTGGGAACACTTAGGGCTTGTTTGGATTGAGGGGAATGAGGGTGAAGGGAAGTTAGGGGAACCATTCACCTTCATTCACCTTGTTTGGAAACACTTAGGAGGTGAAGTTAATTCACCTCCATTCACCTTGATTCACCCCCTAATAGTATAAAAATTGTTACCCCCCAAATTGGGGTGTAACCAAGGGGAAAGGAATTCCCTTCCCTTTCCCTCATTTCCCTTCCCTTCCCTTCACTCAGTTTCTCTTAACTTCCCTTCACCCCCTACGAATCCAAACAGGCCCTTAGGGCTTGTTTGGATTGAGGGGAATGAGGGTGAAGGGAAGTTAGGGGAACCATTCACCTCCATTCACCTTGTTTGGGAACACTTAGGAGGTGAAGTTAATTCACCTCCATTCACCTTGGTTCACCCCCTAATAGTATAAAAATTGTTACCCCCCAAATTGGGGTGTAACCAAGGGGAAGAAAATTTCCTTTCCTTCCCTTTCCTTCCCTTCACTCAGTTTCCCTTAACTTCCCTTCACCCCCTACGAATCCAAACAGACCCTAAGGGAAACTGAGTGAAGGGAAGGGAAGGGAAAGGAATTCCCTTCCCCTTGGTTACACCCCAATTTGGGGGGTAACAATTTTTATACTATTAGGGGGTGAACCAAGGTGAATGGAGGTGAATTAACTTCACCTCCTAAGTGTTCCCAAACAAGGTGAATGGAGGTGAATGGTTCCCCTAACTTCCCTTCACCCTCATTCCCCTCAATCCAAACAAGCCCTTAGAGGTGAAGTTAATTCACCCTAGTTCCTCTTGGTTCACCCCCTAATAGTATAAAAATTGTTACCCCCAAATTGGGGTGTAACCAAGGGGAAGGGAACTCCCTTCCCTTCCCTTCTCTTCCCTTCACTCAGTTTCCCTTAACTTCCCTTCACCCTCTACAAATCCAAACAGGCCCTAAAGGTTGACTGGAGAGTGGGATTTATGAAAATTTCTGATGATGAATTTGGGGGCAAAGCCATTGGAGTCGAGAATTTCTTACGGCGCTGGAGAATTGATCAGGAGTCGCGCTTTAACGCGTGAGCCAACTCGCTCGTGAAACAGGGGGTGGTCCCCACTGTGTCAGTGGGGACCACCCCCTGTTTCATGTGCGAGTTGGCTCGCGCGTTAAAGCGCGAGCCAAAAAGCACGGTTGATGGAACTATGATATTGTCAATGCAAACAATTTACTAGAGAGGAATCTGCGTGTTGATATTAATGGCTTACACGCTCAAGTCCCCATTACTTTTCCCCATCTTGTATCACCCTCACTCGTGTTTGGCGGCGCTTATGCTTTTAAAACTTTCAGGAGGAAATTGTTTCCAGCCTGCAACAGATAAGAATTTGTGCGTCTAAGACGTCTAACCCCTTTGAAAAAAAAATCAACTTCCGTAAACACTGGGACCACAAAAGTTATGCGTGTATATCTATTTTACTAGTTGCACAGATTTGTATAATATACAAAAATTGATGTAGCAAAAGAATGCAAAATAAAACAGTAATAATATATAAGTAGTCAGAAATGATACAATCTAAGATACATATATGTTTGACTTAATATTAAACTGTAAAAAAATAAAAATATAATTTTCCTATTCTCATAACAAAATTGCCTAAAATGAAAGTAGTATGCAGCATAAAGTTTAGTTCCAAACAAAATATTTAAAGCACATAGAGATACATGTCAAGCATATATATCAACGAATCAAAATAATAATTATCAATATATTGATAAACAAAATATCCATCATAATCATATCAAGTAGTTAGGTTTCTCAACGCAAAACCACCAAAAAAATATGTAGTGCATACAAAAGTTTACTAAATAAGGTTTTATACCAAAATACTAAATATAAGTTTCAGACATCATTAATCAGATAGACTTTTCTCAAAAAGGAGCTTGAACTCTCTGTAGAATATTCTAATTCTCTTTTTTAATTTTGATCTGTTTTTGCTTTTTGTTGCTTGACATTTGCGGAGAAATCAAGTCTACTGCAACTGAGTGCTCGACATCATATTCCAACAAATTTCTCTTGCAAGGTGTAACGTTATCCGAGGATTTCAACTTCATTATCACAAGTGACCGATAGCGAGACCTGTGTTTCAGTATAACATAAGTTATCCGAGGATTTCAACTTCATTATCACAAGTGACCGATAGCGAGACCTGTGTTTCAGTATAACATAAAAGTTAGCATGTTAATGAGGTGATTATCACAAGTGACCGATAGCGAGACCTGTGTTTCAGTATAACATAAAAGTTAGCATGTTAATGAGGTGACACGAAAGATTGTTGTACAATTAATGTGAAGAATCAAGAAATCAAGAGTAAGGCGAAAAGAAATAGGCAATCTAGAAGTTTTTGATGCATTGTTTCAAAAGTTAATTAGAAGCTTCACGAGATTGATAATGGGTCATTGACAAATAGAACATAAACCAAAAATAATGTTAACTAAACTTTAAGCTTTTATTTGTTTTGAAAACTTCTAAAACTCAAATGGTAAAAAAACCTTGTATTATTAAAAGTCATCAAGCTTTTATTTGTTTTGAAAACTTCTAAAACTCAAATGGTAAAAAAACCTTGTATTATTAAAAGTCATTCTACTCATATGTTAGATAAGAATCTGACAATATATAATGCATTCTTTTAAAAAATCTAACATTAAAAACATATTCTACACATTATTGGAAAATAAAGTCATGTTTATTTTATCTATTTAGTTGGCATACTAATAAAATATAAAGAAAAGTTTTTTACACTGTTAACGTGAATAATCAAGAGAGCAATAGTAAAACAAAATTCAAAGTGGTAAAGGCGAAAGAAGCAGCAACATCAAAAGAGTATTTGAAAAATAAGTATTGTGAAATATACTGCAAAAGTGAATTTGAAAGAAGCAGCAACATCAAAAGAGTATTTGAAAAATAAGTATTGTGAAATATACTGCAAAAGTGAATTTGAGAGTTTTGACTTGTCCGGTTGAGTATTTGAAAAATAAGTATTGTGAAATATACTGCAAAAGTGAATTTGAGAGTTTTGACTTGTCCGGTTATCCCTTTAATTATGAAGAGAGGTGTTGAGGTGTTAGTATAAGTAATAGTTTTGATCATAGTTGAGTCTGGATGGAGGTTGTACATATAATGCTTTTTGGGATTACATGAATACTTACCTTTCATTTCACAATTTTTTTTAAAAATAAAAACATGAGGAATAAAAAAGAAAAGTAATACTAAGTGTATTGACTTACATTTTCAATATCAACTTTCTTTTTGGAAAATTCAGCTTCATCAGTAAAATATTCTTGACCTGTCGACTCCTAATTATTTAGAAGGAAAAAATATTACTAATAGATTAATACATGAAATGAATAGATATGTAGCTATATAAAAGATGGAAATATGTAATGTACATGGTTCAAATCTAAGCTGTCTCTGAAAGCTGCTATCAGATTTTCATCATCAGTCATTTTAGAGATAGAAAATACAGGCCAATTTTGATTGAGATTGAATTCTAAAACTTGAATCTTGAACAAAATTTTTTTCTCACCAACACAGCTAACTCTTGAGGAAATGAATCATCATCACCCTCCTGTGAACAATATAAATAAGAAAAGTAAAGCTATTGAATTAAAACTTTTAATTTTTACAGAAAAGAATCAGAGTGATTACTTTTGTCAGTCGTTCCCTCAATTCGATAGTTGATTTGTGAATAACTTGTTTAGCTTCACGATCAAACAAAACAAATGATGCAGTACATGTATGGTCAATGACTAAAACCTAAACCCTGTACCTGCTAAAACTCAAAAATTAAAATAAACCAATAAGAACTGTGATCTAAAGTGTACGTTGAAGATCCAGACATCCATTCATGAAGGATATGATAAAATATAACTTTTGAAGAAACTGACATGCATACTTCCACACATACCTTGGGATAACAGATCTTGCGTTTTCATTGCACTTCTCACACCAAAATTACCATTTTCAGCATTTACCTTCCTCTGACATTTTTTCTTGCGTTTTCATTGCACTTCTCACACCAAAATTACCATTTTCAGCATTTACCTTCCTCTGACATTTTTTGCAAACATTGTAAAACCAATTGTAATATGTTTGAATTTTCTCTATAGTTGCTAATGTCACACATGTGCAAACCTGAGTATTATTAAATAGTGAGAAAATAAAGTTATGAATAATTTGGTAGAAAATTATCAATTATCTTCAGGTTAGTTATCTAGTTTGCCACTAATCCTACATTTTAAAAAGCAGTGCAATATCAATTAAATATATTCTTCCAAAAAATTACCTCTCGTACCTCTCAAATTTCACCAAGTGTCTTCCGTTCAGTTAATAACAAAAAATCATCCTCGATGGAATAAGCTTTTTCAGTTGGAATCTGACTAAATCGTTGAGACGAATAATCTTCCACAAGTTTTAGACTTATGATAGTAAAAGTAAACTAATTAGAAATAATATCAAATTACTTGTAAATAACTAACGAATGAGATAATTCATCATGTACCTTTTTTTTAGATCAGCAACTTCAGGTATGTCGGGATTGATTAATATCTTGGACGCATATAAGCATTTGTAATAGTAATTTTACCTAACAAATAAAGTTTTTAAATTCATGATTATGTCAATATATAAGCATAATCTACGAAATAAAAATATATCTTTTTTGATAAATTAGTATAACTCCAATAAAGATTTACCTCCATATGATTTTGTCTTTGCAAGCTGAATCACCATTATAATAATTCCTGAATTAGCTTTTTGTACATATTGCGAAACTTGAACAGCGTAATCACCCCATAAAAGGACATAAGAAGTTAGTTTGTCTATAATGAATTCAGGTGATAGTATGAACTGTGCTTCTCGGTGACTTCAAGCAATGCAGATGTAGAATA